AGAGCCACACGGATCCATAATAATAACTGCTCGGTCAACCATATGGGCAACCACCATGTCCACCGTGGCATTCTTTGTGTCCCCCAGGAACAGAGTGATTGTCCCCAGTCTGCAGCAAAGTTGCTGGATTTCTGCACAGGTAGCTCTGGACCCACCCACATGGACAGTCCTGGGCCCAGGTCCTTCCCTCAGGACAGTGCCTTCTGACTAGCTCAGATAATAATAACTGCTCGGTCAACCATATGGGCAACCACCATGTCCACCGTGGCATTCTTTGTGTCCCCCAGGAACAGAGTGATTGTCCCCAGTCTGCAGCAAAGTTGCTGGATTTCTGCACAGGTAGCTCTGGACCCACCCACATGGACAGTCCTGGGCCCAGGTCCTTCCCTCAGGACAGTGCCTTCTGACTAGCTCAGAGGGGAGCTGCATGCACCTGATGAAGAGGGAGGGGTCCGTGGTGGGAGTCAAGGCAGCTCCCCAAGTTCCTGTCAAGTAGATCAAAGGAGCAGAGCCTGGATCCCAAGAAGTTTGCCTAGAAAAGGCAGTGGGCTTCCAGAGGGACAGTGTGTGCCTGAAGCCTGCCCTGGGGACAATGAGGCACATCTGTACACAGGCACGTCACACCCCCCATCGGCCACATGTCTGCGTGGCCCCCACAGCTACTCCAGGGATGCACTCCATGTCCAGACTAAGGTGACACCTGTTACTCTCAAGCCTGGGCCACACATCACTCTCGTCTCTCTCTGCCCTCTCTGCCAGGGTTTGAGGTAAAGCCTGAGAGGATGCGTGCATGACTGATCCACAGATGTGAATGAGTACATAACTGCCCAGGCTTGCCCCAACTGCCTTCCGGCCCACTTGGTGTCGCCCAAACAGGGAGGAGGGAGTTCCTGGAGAAGCCCCAGGCTAGTGATGGCAAATCTTTTAGAGACTGAGTGCCCAAACTGAAACTCCAAACCCACTTATTTATTGCAGAGTACCAACACTGGCCCTGTGTGCACTGTCCTCCATTGCTCAGCTGCTGGGGCAGTGCTAGGACGGCTTGACTCACATCCAGAGAAGGCTGTGCGCCCACAGCAGCATGTGCGCCAATAGGTTCACCACCACTGCCCTAGGCCCATGCTGCATTCTCCCCAAACTGGGTCCTCGTGGCTGTTCTGTGTCCACTGCAGGCCCTTTTCCTTCCCTCCTCCCTGTAAGAAGCACACAGAAAGCTGCTGACCCAGCAGGGACATCAGCTTTCTCTGAGCCCCAAGGACAACCAGGTACATGTGACCCACCTCCAATAGCCAGGCCTTTTGGGCTGTGCCTTCCCTCCCTACCCCTTTGGAGATCACCTTCTGTGGACACAGAAGGGAATACAGGCAGCAAGGGATTAGAAGACCCCAAAGGATTTACTGTTGCTGTGGGTGCCAGATGATTCCAGATGCTAGCCCAGCTTCAGCCCAAGCCCTGGGCCTTCACACCATGCCCCGGGTCACCAGAGGAAAGCAGCCTCTCACTTCTTCCATGAGGTGGGTACTCCCAAATCCCTGCCCCACCCTGGCACCAAGAGCGGGCTTCGCTTCTACGGTCTTGTCCCTCCCATCCTACTGTGGGTTCCGGGATACAGACGAAGTTTCTATCAGGTAGGACTTAGGTCACCGGCAGGATTCCGGCACCAGAACCTGACCATCCTTAAGTGAGTCTCAGTGTCCTTTATTAGAGACATTCCTTACAGCCACCGCACTCTGCTAAGGTTAAGAGCAGGACCTCTGCTGTGCAGATGCCTTCAGCAAGGTTGAGCAGCTGGCCAGAAAGGTTCCTAGGTATGACTTAGAAGGCAATAAATCCCAGGTCCATGGCCTTTCCACCCATGAGGCTCTCAGGAAACCTAGTGGTCAGTTTCCAGAGGGTTAGGGTGTGGGGACTACAAGGAAATACAGCGAAGGCCCCAAAAGATTCAAGACCATCAACTCAGCCCCACCACTGACTCCACCCTGTCTCAGCTGTGTATAACAGCCAAGGGCTGCCGCAAGGACAGGGAGGCACTCACAGGCTGAGCACTCTGCCTATGATGCAGTCATAGCCCCATCCCTCACCTCCACAGCTCCTGTGCCACAAACATTTCTATAAACAAAACTGGTTTCTATGGATTCCCAGGTAGCACCTTGCCACGGCTGGGCCCGAGAGGGACAATCTTCCTGGAAGTTTAAGGGCAGAGTCCTCCCTTCAACTCCCACCCCAGTCCTTCCGGGGCTCCATCTTTGAGTTTCCTAAACCAGGACCCCTACCCTTTCCCATCCCCGTTCCCCAAACCCCAACAGATAGGGGGTGGCTATAGGCCTTAGGGATAGTCAGGTAAGTGGGCGCTGGAACCCAGGCAGGAGCACCCTCAAAAAAATTGATGTCTGGCGGCCAGAAGCAGTGAGTGAGGGGGCGGGTGGCGGCACCATCTAAGGCATCTGGACAGCTGGACTTGGGGGTGTGAAAACTGGCTTGGTCCATGAAAGGTTGGCAGTCGCCTTTGGGGCTTTTGCCTGCAGACAAAGACAGCAGGTGAGGGAGCTGGCTGAAATCTTCCGAAGTGTGGCAAAAACCAGTTCCTAGGCAGATTTGCAACTCACTTCCTCATACTTCGTCCTCCAGTAGAAATGGGCTTCTCTGTCCACATACAGCAGCAGCAGATCACAGAGGAAGGTGACCTGGAAGAGGCAGGGTCAGGCGATGCCCCACCCCTAACCCGTTCCCTGCCACCTCCCCAGCTCTCACCCCAGGTCACAATGTGTGATCACAGGGTGCTCCGGCAGACGGACACTAACTACACTGGACTCACCACACCCAGCCAAGCTGCTCCAGTGCCCAGGGTGATGGCCGTGGGGATGAGCCCGAACTTCCCTGCCTGAGAGAGCTGGGATGAGCCTTTCAGACCACAGCTGTCACCATACTCTTCCTCCAGGCCCATCTGTCTGTACCCTTCTCTCCTGGCCTGATCCCTACCTGCCCAGTGACAAGGATGTCAAAGCGGATCCCGTAGAGCTTGAGCATGCTGCGAGCTTCCACGCCGGGGGCCTCCCACCAGTGACTTGCTGTCCTGGGGGAAAGAGAGAGGGCTTCTGTGGCCTGTACTGCCCATTCTTGGGTTGGGCTGGTTTTCCCAGGCCTGTCTTCTTAGTTTTTGTTTGTTTGTTTGTTTGACTCCATAAACCTCTACCCCAGGCTAAGTCCTGGGTCTTGGCCCTGAGTAATTTCTAAAGACATCAGAAAAAAGCACCCTGGGAGCTGATCCAAGGAAGCTTCCTGCCTATTGAGGGGACAGTGGGACATAGCAGCAGCAAGGGATGAAAGGAGGACGTCCGGGTGAGGGTGAGGGCAGGCAGAGGGTTATTAGAGCCTCAAGGCAAGAATTCACTCCCCCAGAAATGGGGAAGAAGGCACATGTGGTTGGTTTCCTAAAGGAGGTCCAAACTGAGGGAGCAAGGCCAGCCAAGGCCCATAGGTGGGAGGAGCAATGAGGGCAGGGAGCCAGCACCACAAGGTTGCAAAAAGGAAGGGAAAGAGGAAAGCCACGATGGGCAGGGTACAGCAAGCCATGCCTACATCATCCCAGGCCTGATGACAGCTATGTGTGCACATTTGGCTTCATGTGTGTGTGACAGGTGATAGTAGGTGGCACCTTTCCAAGACGTTCTTAGGAGACTTAAAGGCATGACAGTGAATCCAATTCAAGATCTCTGAGTGCGAGACTTAAAGACATGACAGTGAATCCAATTTATGATCTCTGAGTGCATCTGGGACTGGAAAAATACAAAGATTTAGGACCATAATTTACATAGGTGAGATAAATATTAGGTTTAATCTGCCAATATTAATATTTATTAATATTAAGGATTAATATTTCGGGTGTATGATTAAGACGGCAGTCAAATGGAAAAGGTCCTATCTTTGAGAAGAGTGAGTGTCCCATATCTGCCACTTACTTTCAGACAGGGTGTTTTGGTTTTTGTTTGTTGTGTTTTTGTTTTGTTTTGTTTTGGGAGATTGAACCCAGGATCGTATGAATGTCTACCACTGAGGTCCACTCCAGCCCAGAACCATTCTATTTGTAACCTACATACATCCCTCTCATGCTAGACAGGACGAGAGAAAGAAAATGTGGCCAAATGCAAAACAATAACAACGAATGAACCCAGGGCAAGGGTATGTGGATGTTCATGGTACTAATCTTTTATTTATGTATTTATTTTTCATTTATTAATTCATTCAGACCTGTGCCATCACACCTGGCTTTCTTTTAATTTTTTAATAGATTTTTTGGGGAAAGTTTTAGATAAAACTATAAACAGAAAGTAAACATTAAAGCTTCTATGCCCTGAAGGGGAGACGGGGGAGGCAGGGTGGGGTAGAGAAGGGCCATCTCAGAGTGTGAAAGTGGGAAGTCTGCACTAGGCAAGGGGTGGGGACGGACTGACTGGGGGATAAGGGGCTAAGAAAACTTTCTCTTGCACCCAGAGTCCCCAGGGCACACACAGGGACCATCCCTAAGACTAGAACCGAGGTATGATCTGTCTTGGCAGCCACAGGGAAATGGGAAAGGCAGGGACACTGGCCCAGGAACAGCGAGCCAGCAGGGGGTCACACCTGAAGTTGTAGCTCCTCTCCTGCAGCTGGAAGGAGTAGCGAGGCCAGCAGTCAGAGCTGCCAGTGTCCAGATTGCAGTCCCAATGGACGCGGATGCTCACAGCACCACCCTGCACACAACACATCTCATGTTCCACCAGTGGGCCAAGACCTGATCTCTTCAGGAACCCTTTTCCTCCAGGACCCACCATCAGTGCCAGGTCCTCGAAGTCCCCTCCAGCTGCAGCCACAAGGTCCCCGATGCGGAACACTGGGCAGTAGGGGCTGGAGAGTGAATCGTAGTGGCACTGCTTGAAGTAGGCAGTGTCCCAGGTGTCTAAGAAATTGGCTCTGGGAGAGGCAAGGATGAGGATTAGATAATCAGGAGGGCCTGGAGGGCCTAGGGTGAGCCAGGACTTGCCTTGCTTACTTGGAGAAGTTGAACTTGCTGAAGGTGACGGTGTTTTTGATGAGCAGTGTGAAGTTCTCGGCCTGAATCAGCAGGGGCCTCCTGCAGGTGAAGGGTACACTGCTCATTTTGCCCAGTTTGGGGCCCTGCCCTGGGACTGAGAGGAGACTTACGCGGACACAGCGCCATTCTCCACTGGGCACCAGCTCTGGATCTCACAGGTCCGGTGGGTGCCATTGAACACCACACACTGACCTGTCTTTATGCCTTGAAAACACAAGATGAACTCTAGGCCCTTAGATCCCTACAGGCCTGGGGAGGGTTTGGGGCAGGGGCTTATTGGCAGAACAAAGAGATGCAGGGTCCCAGGCCTGCTTACAGTTACCGTGGCTGTGTGTTCCTGTCTCCCCTTCAGGGCAGTCCTCGTCAGCCCAGCAGTTAGCCAGTGGGACAGAAGGGTGCTGAGGTAGACAAGAGACACTGGTCACCAATGGCCCAGTGGTGGCTTCTCTCTGGGTCAGCCCCACAGTCTGCAAAGACACATTCCTCCCACTTAGCACCAGGGTACCCAGGTTTAGAAGCCTGAAAGCTGGAGGGTGCAAACAAATGGAGGTGGCCCGTGGAGTGGTCACATGAGATATGGTGCTGTATTGCCAGGGCAGAGTGAGATCCCTTTGCTCTTGACAGCTTCCTCTGATAGAGGCAGAAAGGAAAGAAAGGATTCATTGAGGTCTGGCTCCTCGGCTCCGGTTCAGACATTGGAACAGGAAAGGGGAGGGACCTTGCACAGGTAAGTTCTTGATACCTGGCGTGCCAGGGCAGAGGCTGGAGGGCACGTCCAGTAAAGAGCAGGAGCCTAAGTCACAGCAGCCTGTGACTGGGGTTAGGAAGTAGCAGGCTGGTTCCTCCCCTGGCTGCTCTTTTCACGTCTTTATAGAGTCAAACACTATGGAGAAGGACCAGGAGGAAAAGTGGGCAAGCTTTCCAGGGGCCCCAGACTCTGGAAAGGAAGGCAACTTTGGAAACTACAGACACACCACAGCCATGGCACACCAGCGTTCGTGGGCAGCCAGAGGAACACAGCACCAGGAGTCTGAGAACAGCTTGGGGACTCTGGAAGGCCAGAATGAGATGTGGGGCTTTGTGAGGAACAGGACTAGGGTTAACGAGCAGAAGGCAGAGGACAGAGTGGAGCCACCTGCTCTTCTGTCTTCATTTATGTCTAAGAACGTCCTTCTCCTCAGGCTAACCTGGTCACAGACTCCTTCAACCAGACCCCACGGTGACCACTGATGGGGCCTCTGCCTCTACGCACCAGCCTGAGCGCTCCGTCCCAATGCACAGGAGACAGCTCTGCCCATCTGTGGCTTCCTTCTGCCTTCCTTAGCGAGGCTCGTAGGGCCCCTGGGATCTTAGGCTACCGCCTTTCCAAATGAGCCCAAATCTATACCTCAGCATGAACAGGCATAGTCCTAAGCAAGAATATGCTGCTTGCCCACAAAAATGGAAGCTACTTCCACACACTAGGAGAGGCTGGGCACAGAGACAATCTTCCATCTTCTTGCCTCTTGCAAGTGACCACCTGAGCCCCGCTCCAGAAGTCACACCAACAGCCTGGGAAGTACCCAAAGGTGGAACTGAGATGAGGAGGGGCCTGCACACCTCAAGGAAACACGTGGGTGCTGTCACCCGCAGGCCTGCAGGCCTAGAGCAAGTTACTCGACGTCGCTGAGCCCCAGTCACCGCCTCTTCTGTGGGAATCACAATTCCTACCGAGAAAGGCTCTATGCAAAGACGAAATGATTTACAGAGATATAGCCACATGCCTGGGGTGCACCAAGCATGCACTGAGCTTTCAGCCACCCACGAAGGAGGGCAACAGGGCTGATGAGCTGAGGGAAGTATGAAGTATGAAGCTCCAGGGAGGCTCCCAGGCAAACTTACCTCCGGGCATCTGCCCTGAACTTGAGCTGGTGTCACTAGGAAATTGGTCACCAGGAAGAACACGTTCTCTCCCTAGGAGGTAAGTCTCACAGTTGGTGCCTGCCGGCTCCTTCCACTGAAGAGGCTGGAAACTGACTGCCAGGGTGTTGTTGTTTGTTGGTTCTATAAAACCCAGAGCCTCCCAGAAACTTGGTTGATGAGGGAAGTGTTTGTTCTTCTCCTCATCTTGTTCCCAACTCTGTCTCTTAGGAAAATGGGTCCAGTGAGGAGGGTGGAAGTAGAAAATGCGAGGCTGGTTGGATTACTAATCCTTTCCTCCTTCCTGAGATAGAACCCAAGGTCACTGAACCACATCCCTAGCTCTTCAAAAAAATTTTTAGCTGCCCAGGCTGGCCTTGAATACATAGTCCTCCTGCCTCATTCTCCCAAACAGCTTAGGTTACAGGTACAGGGCACTGTGCCCATGTGGTTTCTGGCCCAGGGAGACTCGTGCACACGTTCATCTTGACACAAGTTAATTTTCACATTCATTGTCATTTGCTCAACCATAGTTTTCCAAGAGCCTCCTGTATCAGGCACCAAAGAGCCAGAGGCAAGTCGAGGTCATGTGGAACCCCTCGTCACATGCACAAACACACTGGCATAACAGGGGCTGGGGGGAAACACACAGTACACTCTACATGGGGTCAGTGAGTGGCCGAAGACATTCAAAAGTGCTGCTCACGACAGTGTTACAAATTTGGAGGTGGGAAGGTGAGGGCTGGCAGAGGACAGGGAAGTGTTGTGTGAAGTTAGGAAATGGAGGGACTTGGTGGCAAACCGCCATGGAAGAAGAGACTTCCAAGGGCAGAGAGCAAGGGCTGGCAGGCTCTGATGAAGTCAAGTATAAAAGCTCAGTCTGGCTGCTGTGTGGTGTGCACTTTAGGGAAGGGAGCATGGGAGAGGAATCCAAGGGCCCACGACAGCAGCTGCAGTAAAACATGCTGGGATGGACTAAAGAGGGATCAAAGCTGAGTCCTGGTTCTGGCTTTGGCATTGGTGAATGTCACAGCCCTCAGTGGACCAGAAGCCAGGATTCCAGGACAGAGAGATGATTTATCCTAGGACAGGGTGGGTGTGCATCTGGAAAGCAGCTCCTCTCTAGGCAGGTGGTCACTAGGGCTACAATTTGGGCATCGGCAGACCAGAGATGGAGACTGCGGCTGTCAACTAGCTGGGTGGAGGGAGAAGAGACATGCAGCCTGAAACAGCAGAAGAGGGACACTTGTCAGTGGTACCCAGGTAAGAGGGGAGGTTCAGGAAGTTCAGACCCTACAACCCTGTGCCCCTCCCACCCCATCTTCAACCCCAAGGCTTGAGTCCTAGATATCCCAGTCTTTTCCATAGGTGGCCTTTTAATTAATTAATTGACTATTCTTTTTTTTTTTTTTTT